GAATTACAGAGCAATGACGTTTCATTAAAGAGAGTAAAATTATTTCCAACACCTTGAATCCTCATTGAAATGTTGTGGAGACTTTCTCTCTGAGTGACATGCTCCAATTTTTGAGTGTGAGCATACACACAGTCGATATTTTTCCTGTGTAACCTTACCTGGTGTGCCACGGCACTCTTTACCTCTTCAAAAATTTTAAAAATTCCAAGATGACTAGCATCTTCGTCATGTTCGCGTAAATCACCCTGCCTCCAGCTGCTAAACGGCGTGACGCAGGTTCTAATCACCGATTTTTCGCACTTTATTTTAATGGTCCAACAGCCTGCATGACCCTGGGTATCCCATGCGATGACAAAGCCGGTGTAACATTAGACAACGTAAATGCAATGAGACCTATGGCAAAGTCATACGAGAGACTTAGCTACGGTCCCGAATCCTTTACCTTTTTATGTTGTCTTTGGAGCCGGTTCGACGGAGTCAACGAATATAAAAAAATTTGCTCGAATGGAAATGTACTTACAATTTCACACATCACAATACATTTCTGTTGCTGGCTGAGTATAACAGAACCATGACCAATATTTCAGGTAGCAGCGTCTCCGTTTTCAGCGATTCAGTGATCGTGAACTCAGACAGAGTCAACTTTTGTCAGGTCGACGGTTTGATCCCGATCGTTGTATGTTAGCTCATTACCGCTAACGCAAATCACGTGGGTAACGGGTGACGGTGGCGCCATTATTTTGAGCCGGTAGGCACCAAATCGTGGGATAAGACGCTCCAGCAACCAAACAGACAGAGCAATGGCCAGTATGATACCGTAAAACATGAAAAGAAATTCGTAATTCTTCAGCGTTTTGTGCCTTTCAATGCTCACCGGAGGACGCACTATTCTGCCGCTCTCAACGAATTTAACATTTTCGTTTAAATGGCTCGTTTCCTCATTTAGGATGAAGTCGTTCAGTTCTATTATAGCCTGGTTTATCTTGTCCGCCAGCGAAAAGTCTCTGTTCCAGAAGTAGCACATGTTGTTGCAAGCGAAACGGATCGGAAGTTTCCAAAACCGGTACGACTCGTTGTAGCTTGACAAGTATTGCAGTAGCTGATTGGAATTTTTTGCCAGTATCCCATTTCTGTTCTTGGACAAGACGCTTAATAAGTTACTCGTATTTTCAACGTACAAATAACCGACGTCGTTTATAATCTGTTGCAGTCGCTTTTCATTACTCGGAGTCAGACCATGAACTCTGACCTCGCCCTTTTGCTTGTAGTCTATAATGCGATATTGTTTCTTGACGAGCTGGTTCAGAAACGTCTCCTGATCTTCAAACGGCTGCTGGACGTAATATGGAGCCATCAGCGCCTCTCGAATGTACGTTGAATATAGAGACTTCAAAAACGCGAATATGAAAATGATCAACACCCATTTGAGGATGTTCGGCCTCACTCGATATTGTAACATGTATGATAAAAAGTCGAACGCCGTCTGCTGCATGGCATCGAAAAACCTCGTTTTGTCAAGAATCATTTTTTCGAGCATAACAGCCAGAAAAAGACTTGCAAAGATCAGGATGATGAAGTACCAGGTAGACATTTGGAAAGGAGAGAGCGGCTTGAATTCGTAATGTAGATCTTCAGGCAGGTTCACAAGGAACCCTAGCGGCACCGATAACACCGGTTGACTCGGTTGAAAATATTGCACCCTTAAAGACTGTAGGTTGCATAGGTTGCCAGTGATGTCAATTTCTCGGCGTCGCAGCATGGCTATCAGCGAGTCGTTTTCCGAGTATCCGCAGCCCGGCACGGAGCTGTATACGAAGCGCAGCGACAAGTTCAGCATCATGGAAAAAGTTCTGAACACTTCAAGTTCGAAGCCAGGAAAACAGTCGGTTTCCAGAGACTCTCGAATGCAATGAGGCATCAGGTTTGCCCACGGCGAAACGCCAACTCGAATTACTTGTCTGTTCATTGCAGATTTGAACTGCCTCACCTTGGTCCTTCTTCGTTCGTTTGGTCTTGGAAAATATCAAATGGAAGGCGACCAGCGAGTCTGTCACGATATCGCGAACCTCATTGGTGCACTACACATGACTGACAATATGGAAAGAGTATAACACAACCTCAGTTTCATAATCGTTAATGAGCCACTCGGCCAACCAGTAAAATTAGCTGCTGTACACGCTAATTGCTGTCCTGGGGGCAGCTATTCATTCGGTTTACCGAGAGTTTTGCCTCAGTGCATGTTTTCTTTTCTCAATTATGTCGCCAATCAATCCAGCGCGTGAACTGAACCGTTGCCCATTGATATCGATGCGTTGAGCTTACGTCAGGAACTCAGTGGCGCGTTCTGCTTACCTAAGTCCTATGGTAACTGTTATTCTCGCAATCGAGCCCCGGTATTCATTATAGATTGATGACCTCGCATAATAACTAATGAAAAAGATTCGAGATTTAAGAGGATCCCATTTTAGTTTTAAAACCGACGATAAGCAAGTCAGTTTCTGAGACAGACAGCGAAGTGAAACCACGTACGAAAGACCAAGTGCAGTGAGGAAATGTCTCATCGTAAAGATCGTTTCAAATGGCATATTGTCCGCTTTTCAATTCGATATATGGTTTGTTCGCATTTAATAGGAGAAATTTTATGCCATGCTAAAATTTAGACTTGGTATCGCTAAAATCAAAAGTTAGTCTGTAGGTAATACACGTCTAGGCCATCCAATGCGTTGAATATGTTACAGAGTGCGTTTTAAATTTCAGAGGTTTCGCTTGATGAACAGTGCAAAATGATCAATGAAGGCACAGAGATAACATACGTAAAAGTATGCATAAGATTTAAAAAACAAATGTTCTGAAACTCACACAGTCAGAAGAGGGATGACTGAGGATTTGCTTGAACGGCCGCTGAGATGAGAGATTAGTGAGCAGCGACCACCGGTAGGTTTCAATAAAGTTTTGAAATGAACAATTATTCTGATCCAATGTTCAGTCTTGTAAATAGACAAATGGTTAGGCGTTTATTGAAAAAATAACTCTCCTAGACATCCCACGCTCAAACTTATGATTTTGCCTAATCGTTACAGCCGTGGCTCCTCTGAGAATTATTTTCCCTCATTCGTGCTTTCCTCTCCAAAGTTTCTTTCTGGACAATCAGCAGCTCCATAAACCCGCGATACAGCCGGGTTATTGAAAGTTAAGAAATTGACCGGCAGCGCATCGAATGTTGGGGACGAGCATTCATTAAATTTCATTGTTGGGGCAGTAGTTTTCCAAACGATCTCTGTTCTTCGCCAATCGAGAACCTCCATAGCGTGCTCAATATATCTAGTGATCTAGTTTTCGATCTGCACCTAGCCGTTCTCCACTGGGCATTGCCAAAGGAATTCATATCTTCAACTGGTCGGAGGAAATGAAACAACTCAGAACGATGATATTTCCTTAATGGTCTTAGTGATGTAACGCTGGATGGTTATGAGCAAACGCTGCCTGTAATTTTATCTCTGCATATGCATCTGCTCTTTCGCATGATCATGAGTGTTGGATATGGACTGAAGTGCGATTATGAGATCCCAGGCATTAATGATATAGCAATAGGGATGTCTCCGGGAAGGAGAGCGCCCGGAATCGTTCTGCTTCAAAATTTTCAAATCTCGACGCAATAGCAATCCTCTGATGAATCTTATTTTGGTCAGTCATATATGAGATCAGCACGAAGATTAAGGTGTTTAAGAATCTGGTAGTTTTTAACGGAGTCCATCAAGGAGACTCCATATCACCCAGGCTGTCTATCGTACATCTTGAACCAGGATTCCCCAAAATTAAATGGGACTTTCATTCAAGGGCAGGCGGCACGCTCATCTTTGATTTGGTGGCGACACCGTGCAGTTAGAGATGAAGGTAAAAGAGGTTGAATCCATGTCACGTGACCTAAAGTTAAGGAGCAAGCGTGCTGATCATTGAGTAAACAGAACGAAGATGGAGACGATGGGAAACGAATTCGCGACAACCACCTACAGTGATCACTACGACTAAGGAAGCAACCGAATATGTCCATTTGGGGCAGCCAAACGTCTTGGACCGCTCCTTTGGTCCGGAGGTCGCTGGAACGCGTCTTGCGACGTCAAGTAAGAACGGAAGTAACGCTGACATTCTTTAAAAGAGAAAATTTCTGTTAGGACCAAATCGTATGAAATCACTGTATTGCTAACCGCTCTTCTTGACTGTGAGACCCGAACATTATCACAGAATGGTAAAGAACAGCCACAAGTGCAGCAGCAGGCAATGGAAGGAAAAATATTAATTCCATTGGGGGGCATGCTGCAAAAGGAATAAATAACAATTAGCACTGGAATGAATGTCGATCAGTTTAAAAAGAAAGAACACGAAAATTGGCAGGCCACGAACGACCGATGGACTTCATCACTGAGGGATTGGTA